TGCCCAATGCTGAATTGAGTACTGTTGATGGTGTTGTTTTTGTCAATGTCTACATTTAAAAACTGGATGAAATGAATACTTGTGTATTGAGACCAGATTAGATTTACAACGATCTTTATTAATGCAATTAGTTATCTACATTCATTTTGAGGCTATTAACGCCTGAATTCATTGCATTGAAACTGGAAGTAATACCAATTTAGATATCTTAGTATGTTGGTTTGATCTAAATGCAAATATTGCATAAACCAAAAATTTATCATATCACTGCGTGGCCAGGCAGATAGGAAAAAAAACTACTCTAAATGTTTTGAGCTGTTTGATAAATTGCGTTTTTTTTGCTCTCGTGTTGGTTTTTGTTCATTCTCTCGACGTAATTTACGGTCATTTGGAGTAACGAAACTGAAAAATGGCATGCCATAAAACTAAGAACCATTCATATATCGTTATCGCTGGGCGATTTTATAGCTTTTAAAAAGAATCTATTTTAGATGATTACACCAAGCAAACGATTAAACAAAAATGATGTGAGTTTAACTATCTAAATTCATTTCCTCTGAATCGAGAGAGAGAGAGAGAGAGAGAGAGAGAGAAAAAACTGAGCAGCTCATTACCAACGCTTAAAAGTCAAATTAAATGCTTGCCAACTAGAACGTGTGAATGTTCGTTTCTATATGCCATAAACAAGGGAAATAAACAGCAGTTTCGAATGTGCGCATTTTATTTCGAACAGTTGTTTCAATAAAATAATGAAAATGAGCATTTACGTTGGAAATGGTCTCAGAAGATGACAGTGGCAGGTTCATTAAAGAATCTATTAGTGTAAGTGGATTGAACGAAAACAAAAAACCTCAAGTCATACCGAAATACGGAACGATACGCATGGGGAAAATGAATAGTTACTACTTTTTTTTACATTTGGTATGGGTGGTTCATATATATGTGTGTTTAGTGGCTTTTTGGGCTGATTTTTTGCTCATGATAGTTTTGAGTGTATCGGCAAGTGTCTTAAGCCACGCATTATGAATAAATTAATGTTCGCACGACTAAAATAAGAAAAACACAACGGATGTAATTTATTTCAACATGACGCTCTATGTCGAATTCACAATGGTCGAAGAAATGCCGAAATGAACTCTTGCCGCGGCCACGAGAGTGAAAGAGAGAGAGAGGGAGCGAACGAAGGAGAAGTATTTGAAAAATGTAGCCAGGTGTGGTTGTTGTTGTCGCATTTAGGCAGTAAATGTGATATTCACTCGCACCAACTACCGTGCGTATCGAAACTATCACTTGCTTCACCGCTGCATATGCATTTAAATGGGCCAAAAATACACCGCGACACATTCATTCCATTCTTGCGGTCGGCGACGTGCGTTTTTCCTTTTATTTTGGAATATTTATTATTAATTAGCCAAAAGATTGAATGCTTAGATAAGCAAGCCATGGCTTGCTTCTAACCGACACAATTTATGAAGTTGCATTTTAAACAAATTATATAAGCTTCTATCGCCGAATTTCATCGACGCAGAACAGAAAGCACTCGCTCTTAATAATGGCCTTAATAAATGTGACCGTCACAATAATTTGACAGTTTTCGTTTCTTTTTCTTTTGTTGTTGGTGTAACTAGGCGTCAATGGAAAACAATGGAGTACACACCGAGAGAGAGAGAGAGAGAGAGAGAGAGAGAGAGGGAGAAAAAAAATGGAATAAAAAATGGGATAATTAATAATTGACTAGAAGGAACGTAAAGGAAAGCATTTTAATCTTTATTGCTTGAGCACAATGTTTGTTGAGCCGCATTATCCTGATGAAACCTAATTGAAAAATTTCCGAATGTCGTCAAAGCAAAAAAAAAATCGTCATATTCGAACCACTTTTTCCTATGTTCATTTGAATAATTTTCAATTGGACAAATTTGAGCGGGTGAGTGAGTGAAAGGGGAATGGCAGGGGAACGACAAAGAAAACAAAAAAAAAAATGTGTCGCCGGAGTCATCGAAAGGACACAGGGTCTGAGTTTCGTTTGAAGTTTACGGCCAGTTGACATTGAATGATGAATTCTCTTCGTTTCACTGCGCATTCATCTCTATCAAAGATAAATTAGACAACAAAAAATGGTGGCACTGCTGGCAAATGTCAAACGGCAATTACTTCGAAATGCGTCTGTTCCGATTGCACGGTAGAGACAATTGTTAATTATTTTTCACTGTTCGCTACTTTGATGTTCAAATAAAATAACCGTTTGTTGAGTTGGTAATTGGATCAACAACTTCAAAATAACGTTTACCTAACTTGTGACTTACTCAAGGAGAACAAATGCCCCAAGATGAAAGCCGTGAAATATTCGATAAAACGATACAATTTGTGCAGTAAAGGTAGCCCGTGAATTTTGTTTATTTTCGCCTGAATGAATAATTCCAGTATCAAATCCGAAATGAAACCGCGACAAAGGTTGCATTGACACGCTTGTCCGCTGTTGATTTGCGTTCATTCACATTTTCCATTCGGTGTTTATCATTCGTTCGTGGTGTTATTTGCACGCTGCAACGTAATTAAAACATGGCCTCATTTGAATGTTGGTGTCGCCCGTTCATTTTTGATTCATCGCTTCATTGAGTTCGCATTTAATTTTGATTGCATCGGTGTTTTGCTATGATTTTTAATGTACGTGTATTTGTTTAGCTGGGCTATGATTTTCAACATACGTAACGTTTAATTTATCCATGCTTCGAAATCTATCGTTGGTTTTCGTTTGGTCGCACCAATGTGAACGGTGAAACACATTAGAATACGATAAAGAATCAAACACGCTCGAGAAAATGATCGGGGCAAACACTTTTGTTTCCAAAGGTATACGTGCACGGACTTTCCTCTTACTTCATCAAAATTCATGCACAATGGTTAATTAATATGTAATTTGTGAAAATACACGAAACATCTATGGCAACACGGGCACTAATGTTGAGATTTGAACGAGAGAAAAAAAGGGGCTTAGCTACTGGTCATTTAATACCAAATGAAAATGCATGCGCTAGAAACAAACCTTATAGAGCCAATGTCAACAATAGCGATTATTTGTGCCCATGGCAAAACGAACTTAAGTGTCTTCACATCTAAAACAAACCATCAGCATGGCAAAAATTGAAGGAAAGAACCAACGACCAGCAAAGATTCGATCGAAAATGGACTTGATGCTATCGAGAATATACACATGGAATTTATGCTTAGCCGACCAGCATACACACACACACACACCGTCCACCACGTACGCATATGAATGCGAGATAAACACCGGCAAACATATTTGCATCGTATTTCAATTTAATACTTTGTTTATAATACACACAGTGGAATCATCATTCATTTTAATTCATGCACGGTTTGTGCCATTTTTTACTCGCTCTCCCGTTTTTTTTTACTCTCTTCCGTGTGTTCTGAACGCGTTCAAGAGTTTTGAGAATCATTACAATTTATTTATTAACATAATAAATGAATTCATCTCCGGAGGCGAGTCACACACACACACACAAACACACCGAACTCAAGAACAAATGAGAGTTTTCTATTAACGCAACCAACGCGGACAAACGGTTGCTACTCACGCCGTGGCCAAGCAACGTACACCACACTCATTGGCCTAATTGTGTGCAGCACTGCGTGTTATTCCCATTTCACGAAGACATTTCTTCGTTTCTCTGTTCCAGTTCCTCTTTTCACATTTCTTGCATTGTCTTTGGCTAATTTTTATTTTTCTCTTCATTCTTTTTCGTTCTCTTCGTTTTTATTCGTAATAATATTTACATTTCATATTTGTGAATGTGCCTCTTGTGTGTCTTGTGCTCGCCAACCACAGAAACGCAACACACCAAAAAAACAAACACACTCTGCACGCGGTAGCAAACAGCACCAAATGTATTTCTGTTAATTAAAATTTTTTTTTGTCGTTTTGAGTGGTTCCCTTTTCCCAAAATCGCGCTTCGTCGCTGTACTCGTTGCTTTTGTTGTTTTTTCTACTTGAAATAATAAATCCAAAGAGAGTGATAATAATAAGAAAACACAAAAGCGATGCAGAGAAAGAAAACACCTGTTTTTGTGGTCGGCAAATTGTCAATGGGCGGAGCACAATGTGCATATCGCCACATCAGTGGCACGTTTCAACTTAACAAAAAACAACAACAACAACTAACACAAACACAATCGTAATAACAATAATCAGCTAAATATGTGAGTGTAAAATGTCTACCATCTACATTGCAACCTTTTGCCTCTTCTTCAGCGAAATCGTTGACATCTTCCATAAGATGATCTCCCCGCTGCATTTTCCTTTTACATCCAAACAAATTGCCTCAAAGACATAATTAAAAACCATGAAATTGGAAAGGATGTCTTGACAAAAGGATTGGAACCGGTGCTTCTTTGTGCACTGACGTACAATCAACAATGAAATCTTGTTTTTTTAAACTCGAAATCTTAAAGTTGAAGTGATAATATAAACATTACTTTGAGACTATTAGGTTTTTGAGCGGATATTTAAATTTCAAGATGGTTCTTCTTTTAGTTTTGAACATAATTTTGCAAAATTTCAGAATACACTGCTCTGTCTAGAACCCTTAAATCTATTTTTCATGCTTTAAATTATTATTTTTCTTCTTTTCTTATCTTCATTTTTTCTTTCGTTAAATCAAGTTTCTTTGAAATAGATCATATCCAAGTAGGCCAAGAATATTGTAAACGTTCAAAAAGTATTTATTTTCTGTACATAGTAAAGATTTAGAAAATATTTCGAATCAAATAAACCCATCCAGTACACTCAATACTTTGCAAACTGTCTAATTTATTGAACAGTAGCATCGAGAATGGAATTGGCGTTAGTGCTTTTGGCATTTTCTTCGACCGTGGCAATAGAAATTGATGGAAATAGAATGGCGTTCAATCATGAAACACACATGCTTGGTGGCCAAGTATCGACGAAAGTTTTTCCATATCTTTCTGTAATTGAAATGATTTTCACGTTTGATTTAACCAACGAAACATCCTTTCCTGGCTATGCTGGAGCAATTATTTCCGAAAATTTCATATTGACATCAGCAAGTTGTGCATATTATTGTAGACAATCATCGGAATCGGAATGTTTTGTATTCGTTGGTAGAGTTGACGGAGATTTTGGCGGACAATCAGTTGACCTTCTGAACACAATTTGGCATGAATCGTGGGAAGAAGATTCGAGATTCGATAGGATAGATATTGGTATTTTAATGGTGAGCACCATTGAGTTTTCGGAAAGTGTACATGCGATTGCATTGCCACAGCAAGAGCTAACGGGAGAGACAGAAGTCACGATCACCGGATGGGGAAAATACGGCATTGTAAGTGTTTCCAATATTTTAACAGAAAATTGACGAACAAAGAAAGCCAATCGTTAATTTTTGGTAAATTGGTAAAGCTGGATTCACCCTTTCCGTTGCAACATGCAAACGTAATGGCGGTTTCCTGTAATCATTCGGAACAATATCGAGTCAAACTGGCGTGTACAACTTCAGATATAGCATTCGCTTGTAACGATGATGGTAAACAACTTTTAGGTTAATTAACATGAATATTTCAATGAATCAACTTATTTCCCGCAGGCGCTCCATTGGTTTACACTGATCGAGATGAATTGATTGGAATTGGATCCGTGTATACTAGAGTTGTAATTATACTGAAATTGAAGCCGCATTTCCCTATGTTCATTTGATTTTTTCATATTTTCAGTGTCAACCAGGTATAACCACGTTCTGAAGAATCCAATTTGTGGAATAATATTGGCGATGAAATATTCTATTGATTTTGACTTGAAAATACTCATATTTTGATTTTGGAACTATTTTCATTGCAGAGGGTAGCCAATATGTTAGAGTCTATCCGTATTTAGAATGGATCGATTCCCATATCAATGCCAGTGGTAACAGTACTAACGCTAGCAACAGTATTAACGATAAGGACAGAGGTCTCTCTACTCATGAAGCCGGCGACGGAATGGTAATTGTAATGATTGGCTTGCAAACCGTTCTCATTCGCATTATGACACTGATATACAGTTAGAATTCTTTGTTGATATTTTTCATTATTTTATATAATAAATTTAAGTTCTGCAAATTGGAACCAAGAAAATCTGTTATTTTTGTTAAAATAGAATATGAATGATTTCATATGATTGGTATGTGAATTTTAACGGTTTTTGTGCTATTTTTCACGAACGATCGTGTCTCCATGTATTTTTGTTCGTACACAACGATTTGTAATTGTCTTATCAAATCAAGTGCCTTTGACAAATCATATCCTAGCAATCAATAATACTGCAGACGTTCAGTAAAATTTTCAATTTTTGAACAAAGTAAACATTTATTTCTTGTGTCAATTTCAATACTTCACTAGAAACAACAAAATCGTCAAGAAACGAAATGCTGAAAAAAGACCTTTAAATCCACAAATTTAAATACACATCAAAGATAAAATATTCCAAATCTAATAAATCCGGTGCACGCGCTATTTCGTATCAAACACTAAAAAAGTTTAACTAGTGTAAATCAAAGTTGATACTTGGAAAGCTCCAAACCCAGAGCAATGAAATTGGAGTTAGTGCTTTTGGCACTTTCAGTGGCTACGGCTAGAGAAATTGGTCGAAACAGAACGTTATTCAGTGAGAACGCACGTATCGTTGGCGGTCAGGAATCGAAACAAGCAATTCCATACATATCTATGATTCATACATATTTCGAAAAGGAGAGACAATATGTTCCATTTTGTTCCGGTGCAATTGTCTCAGATCAATCTATATTAACATCAGGATATTGTGCAAACTTGTGTGAAGATATAACAAAATGTAAGGTTTTTGTTGGTAGGCATGATGCTCATTCTGAGGAGATATAAATGCTGCAATAGACATCGGTATTTTGACGGTTGGCACCATATCATTTCCCCGAACGTGAAAACTATTACATTGCCTAAGCAAGATCTAGAGAAACAAAGTGGTGTTACAATCGCAGGATGGGGGAGTGAAGATGTGGTATTCATTTTTTATGATTTTACAGAAAGAAATTCTTGATAAGTTGAACCAAGTCTAATTGTTTATCGTTTGTTTTGTTGAAATTGAAACGTGGAAGCCACATCGTATTTTACGTTATGCAGATACAAAGGCGGAATCTTGTGGAATCCCCTATGTCAAAGCTAAATTTGCTTGCACATTTTCCAGAAATACATATGCTTGCAACGATTTTGGTACATTATGTGTAAGCTTTCGTTCACACTGTAGATTATGACGATATGGTTTTTTCCTTCATCTCTATAGGTGCTCCGATGGTTTACAGAGATCGAAATGAATTAATAGGAATAGGATCTTTTTACACATTCAAGGTAACTATGTAGAAATTTGAGTCGAATTTCTCGTTATTTACCTGATATTTTTATATTTCAGTGCAAATATGGTCTATTAACTTAGGATATGAATTACTGATTTGGAAATAACATGACGAATCAGAATCTTTAAATTTCTCATTGGATTTTATTTTTGAACTAACAATTTTTATTTCAGACTACAGCGTATACGTTAGAATCTTTCCGTATTTAGACTGGGTTGAATCTCATGTCACCGGATCTACCGATAGCAACGGCAATAGTGTATTCTTTACACACAACACCAGAGTAGAAGTGGTTATGGCAATGGTCGTCTTCCAAATTGTCCTCATTCGTATTGTGAACTGGTTTTGCGATTAGAATCCGTGGTTGACATTTGTTATTATTTATCATATTGAACAATGAGATTCAAAATAATATTTGTTTGATAAAGATGTCGTTGTTTTCACTAAATATGCGGCTAAGATCATGTGGAAAAATTCTTCAGAATTATTCAATCCTTCTTATGTTGCCAATCAATAAAATTTAACACTCTAAAAATGATTGGACTGTTTTGTTGACATCTTTATTCACATAAAACAATTTTAAAACAACAATAACAACAGCTGGAGCTTTCATTTCTAATCAATCGCATGCATGTATCACAGTGTCAATACAAATTGATATAAAATCGAAGACTAAAAATGTTCATTGTATGGGAAGTCAGAATGAAAGTTTTTTTTTTCGGATTTTTGGTGAATTTTCGTTGAATTTCCGTTTTTGTGAAATTTCGTTGAATTTTCGTTGAATTTCTTTGGGAATTTTAGGTATTTTGGTGTCTAAAATTTCAGGAAAATTCTAGAATTCTAAAAAAAAAAGTTCTACAGGAATTCCAAAATTCTCGAATGAATTCAACAAAAATCTGAAAAAAAACTTCCATTCTGACTTCTCATACAATGAACATGTTTACAAAACTATCGCAATAAATGGCAAAAAATTATAGAAATGAAATGAAAAGTTTGCATAAGTCAAAATATCTGCTTTAACGCAAAATTTTCTTTATTTTTTTCATACAAAATCACATGACTTGACGTCCTTCTCCAAAAGCCAAACGAGATTCGTAGACAAAGTCCTCAATATTGCTGAAATCAGATACTTTGGCAATTGCATGGGCTGATCGATGATGGTTCATTCCTGCGGCTGGTTTCCTACAAAATATCAAAGCATTTCAATGCTTAAATTGTTGTTTCTTTTTCATCTTTGTCTGTTTTTTTCATACCACTCATTGTTTTCAGCTCTGTAATATTCCACTTTGTTAATGGTCGAAAGTCCATCAAAACCTCCAGATACATAAATTGTGTCGTCGATTACTTCAATACCAAAATTACTACGCGGCGAAATCATATCATGAACTGATGCCCAAAAGAATGTTTGTGGGCTGTATGCTTCGCAAGTACTCAAGCGACTCAGGCCGTTGTATCCACCAACTGCAAACACTTGACCATTGTACGGAACACACTTTAAGCCAGATCGTGCATTCAGCATTTCGGGTATGTAGGACCACTCATCTTTTTCAGGATTGTACACTTCACAACTCCGCAGGCATATGCTACCGTCGAAACCACCTAAAATTAAAAGTTGATTAAAAGTACTTAAATGACATTTTAATTATTTTTCACCTTCGAAAAATGGATTAGACACAAAAATTATTACAAATCGAAATATTAAAACACACTAAAAGGTAGTTGAATACACAACACACCAACAATATAAATTTGTCCATTAAGTTCACAAGCATCAGCATCAGATCGTCGTAATGCCATGCTACACATGAGAGTCCATTGATTTGTTTCTGGATTGTACGATTCAACAGCACGAAGTCGACTATGGCCATCGTGACCACCCATCGCATAAATTCTGTCATTGAAAACACAAACACTGACGTAGCATCGACGGTAGTGCATTGGTGCGATCTAAAATATGAAGACGAATATGAATGGAGGAAAAAATTCAAAATTCTTCTTTTTAGAAAGAAACGTTACGGTGAAGACTTTACCTCCCTCCACATTTTCGTTTTCACATCAAACACGGTGCACTTGTTATAATATTCACTGCCACTGTATCCTCCAATGAAATAGATTTTGGAACCAATAACGGCGGCACTGTGATATGCTCTTGGTCCGTTCGGATCGCTAAAATGGAATTCAATCCATCGATCGGCTCGAACGTCATACGTTTCGAATAATAAACACGCAGATCCATCATACCAGCCGCCGATTGCAAAGAGCACGTCGGACGGCAATCGTGGCACAAGCAAAGAGATGTCTGTATCACGTTCATTGAGCCAATCGATTTCATCCAAGTCTGACACGAATTTATGCGCCGTGTTTACAATTGGTTTCGCCTCTGGACATAATTGCACATAATTGTGATTTAATACCCGCCGTTCAAAGTACTACAAAAAAAAACGCCGAGTAATCTGATTTGAATGGATTCTTTTCGTAAAAGCGATAATGATGTGTCTCACATCTTGTTTTATCAATCCAAGGCGAACATTCTCTAACAATCGTGGAACATATTGTTTGCGATTTTCTTCATCGAACTCAATCCATCGTAGGCATAACTCCCAAACGGGCTCCTCACTTTTTGAATTCAACGCATCATCCATTATAATATCCACGAGGTCATTACATGACAAACTCAATATATCCGTATTTGATGTGGCGACACTAATGAAATTACGCAAAACGTATCCCCTAGTTTTGCGCTGGATGTCGTGCTTGAACAGACACTTCCTTGAAGGTGTAAAAAAATCGACATTTTTTTAGACACCAAATCTCAATATGAAAAAGAAACATTCAATTCTAAAATAAAAAAACCTCGTCATTAACATCAAAGAAATACAGTTCTTCACATTCAGAATGCTCTGAATGTATTCGGCGCATCGATCGACTAATGATGTGTAACAGAAATACTCGGCAGTTGTTAGCAGCTCGCACAAATTGGTTTCGTTGATATCACAAATGAATGTGTAGGCAAAGTTAATAACACATTCCATTATTCCGGTTCGAACATATTTGATGAAGTAGTTGTTGTTTTGCTCTGCACTCACCGGTGACATGAATAGCTTGCTGAAGAAAAAACTCGAATAAATTCCAATTCATTTGTGTATGAATGAAATGCAAGATGAAATTTTCGTAGCTAAGAGTCATTCGTATGAAATTAATGGCACTCTTAATAAGAGTGCTTTGATACTCACTGAAAAAACTCGGTGGCGCTGCACAAAATGACTCGATGTACAGGAATACAGCCGCCATCTTCTAGAACTATTTTGGCATCGCAAAAGGTTGCTGATTTCCGTAGATCATTTTGAATGGACGTATTTTTCTCGCCACAATACAGTGCGATTGTGTTGTAACTATGTGATTTGGTGTGCTTGGTATCGTTGTCCATGCAGTAATAAATTGTTTCTAATTAAAAACTCGTAATTTTCGATCTGCTCCACATACAAATTTTTTGACACAATTCTGCATTAAAAATGTATATGACAATTTTATCTGTGCTACTTTGATCTTGATTCGAGGCTTTTCGTTGCGAATGAAATGTTTTGCGCACACCCGTTGCAGAAAAAGTGTGTGTTCGATGAACTAACATTTTCATTTATCGGTAATTTATGTTGTTGTTGGTAATAATATTATCGGGGGCCGCCGTGTGCAATGATCACAGTTCCGTCCGTAATAAATCTAATGCCAAGAGAAAATTGTATGTGCTGAATATTTTTTTTTCTTCTGCGTAATGCCTAATGCCTCATGAATAATCCGTAGATTTGTCAATTTGTGCAGATACACACACAGAGAGAGAGAGGGAGTACATTCCAGAGGAAATAATCTGTGTTATGAATTGCCAACGGCATAAATGCAATAAACTAAACTTATAGTAACAATTGCAACGAATGTGAATCAAATATATTTGCGAAATGGAATGAGAACAAACGTTTGAACGACGACGACGACGACGACGACGACGATTCAGTCGTTTGAATAACGACTGGGAATTAACACTGTATGCAACGAATGTGTGACGTCGCCAGCTACACACCGACTGCAACTATAAATTGAGATTTATTTGCACTCATATTTTTTACTACCATTTCATTAAATGTTCTTTTTTCGTCTGTGCGCGAAAGAAGTGTGCCCGAAGACATTGATTCATTTGCCTTGTATCTCATATCGTACGATGCCATTCGTCCATTATTAATATTTGCCCCATGTTGAATGTATGGCGATCGGTTTTGATTGCGCATTCTTTAAACGACGCACATTTTTCACGCTGAATAAAGATGAATGTAACTATGCACGATTCGCTGCAGATGCAGCAGACAGATTTAGAGGCATTTTTTAATATATGATACAGGCGGTAATTTTATAATGCTCATAATTTTTCTCGAACCAAAGATATAGTGTAGGTGTTTATCGTTGATATTTAATTCTATGCTACTGAAATGCCCCACTTCATGCCATTATTATTTGCCATAGATCAATATGGACACAGTATTGTAATCAAACATTTTCTCCAGTACTATGGTTTTTTCTCATTTCGAATGTTCAATTCGCAGATTCTCTAGTCCATACAAAAAAATTACCACACGAATCTGCGGCGGAATTAGAAATCAGATTGTTTGAAAATATTTCATATTCATTGTGTGTTCTCCGGCTTTTCTCACATCAAAATTTGGGTGAGGATCAAGAAGAAAAAGTGTATTTGAAAATAAAACACATTACTTGATGAACATGTTTAGTTTCTCTTTAATTTTGAATAGAATAAACAAATGTCAAAACGTTGTTTACGTGTAGAAACGTGTCAAATTTGCACAAATATCTTCCTTTATTGCGTGTATTAGGCAGATTAAGCATTCATCATTCCTTTACATAAACCACAAAAGCCTGAAGCGGTGTCACGGGCAATTTGTTTGGTTGGTATTCCATCGTAGATGACTTTTCTTTTGTTCTCGTGATCCTTATAAGCTCTGATTTGTTTTTTATATGAATTCTTCAAATACTCCTCACTTCGTGCGCTGTATTTAGCCCAGGCATAGCACAAACCTAGCCCCGTTTTAACTGCTGCACAATATGGCCAGCTGTAAATGAATACTATTTGATGGTCTAGCACTTCAGTTATAATTTAGAGATGAGTTTATTTATCTGAAAAAAAAAATATTTTCTGCATTTTATATAAAAATGGTAATATCTTTGAAAGTTTCTCTATCTTGGTTCCTATTTGATGTCTGTATCAGATTTTTGGAAAAATATACTCTACTTTGAATTCTGATTCGCGAGAATCTTTAAGGGGAATAATGGGGAAAAAAGAAATTGAAAAATGTAACTACTATGCGTTCGAAGGTAAAAATGTGTAAAAATTTGGTTTTAGTAATGCAAGCACATTTGTTTCATCCTTCATTCACTTTGAATGAACTTTTATCATCTCAAATGGAAAGGTGCATTTATCGAAGTGGAATAGAAATTCAGCGAGTTTGATTTATCTCTGCGAGATTAATGTTGATTGTGCTCGACTTCGTAAACATAACTTCGTACATTTGTCTAATTTAGTGCATTTCATTTAATATACCTTTTCTAATTTAATGTTTCCATACTAGAAGGGAGTTGTTTGTCGGTGTAGGATTAAATCAGGCCAACGCACTTTAATTAATTTTCCCATTCGTTTGAGGCGCAGCGAGTGCTTAAAACTGAAAAACTTTGCTAATTTCCGCGGTTCCATTAACGACAAAAACATTCCACATTTTCAACATCCGCGGTTCCATTGAAAATGTCTATTTAACGATTCTTTCTGCGCGAAATGGGATCAATTGGTGGATTGGTGTTAGTTATTCCGGAAATAATTTGATCCGAACCTCAATTAATGACCCAAAGTTATAAGTACACACCATTAAAATTAATAAGGCCAAACGGAACATTATCCTAAGATGCGCATGAATTCGGAGGAATTTCGTGAACATTCAAAAGTTTAGTTAAAATAAATAGCAAAGAAAACGTTTGCTCCAGCGTGCGATAATTCGACCGAGTTCAATTAACTCCCACACTTGTGTGGTTCGAGAGATGTTGTTTGTTGATCGGATTACGACCAAACTGACAAGTGAGACAACACGAGTGTATACATTTACGATGCATATGTGTAATGATGACTGTGCCATTTGGATGATGCTGAAATTAAAGCATTGACTCATTCGCATCGAATATTTGGCTAATGGAAAAAATCCTCGAAAGTTGCAACATTGCATCAAATTATCACATTCGTCGAATATCTAGTTGAACTGTCAATTCGGGCAATATTCACTTATCGTCTCTTTATAAAAATGAATTCGAATGCGTACCAAAGTTGGTTAATGGACATTCTTTTTTATTTGCTGCTACAATTTGTGATGGTATTTGGCACCTACACTTATGTGTGACTGTGTCTTGAATTTTCTTCATTATCTGTATTATTGCTGTATTTCATCTGGCCATAGTTTTGTTTGTTTGTTGATAAATCCAACTTTGGAACAACTTAATGTAACGAAAATTGCCATTTCCCTTGAAAGCACATCGAAAATCCCCAGAATAAGATGAAATCGTCTGATCAATCCGAAACTTTGTTCCAACACACATTAAACGAGGCAAAAAAAAAATATGTATACACTCGCAGTCAATGTCGCACAAAAGCTAGCAGACACGATGCGTATGCTGTAAGTAGATAAAATTGAACGAAATTTCGGGTGTGAAGCGCTGAATACATCGATAAATACAAAAACAATTAAATACGAAAATCCTATTAAATGTTTTCGTTTATTTTCTTTCTCGCCGCATTTCTATCTCTCTTGTTCTCTTCTTGGAAATAAGCTTGCTCCTTCTTTATCGGGTTCGGCGCAACATACCCAATTTTCAGAATCACGACAGCCACTGTTTTTTTCCCTTCTTCTCTGGTTAAATCCTCTTCAATATCAAACATGTCTTTGAGTGCCTTGTTCAAGGTCGTTCTCATTGTGAACGCACAAATCGATTCGCAAAATAATCGCTTTAAGTTTGACTGTAGGCAATCGGATCGGATCGTATCATATGTGATAGTCTCGTTTTCTCCTCTCTTTATGTCTCTCTCTCTTCCTCTCTCTCTGTCGCTCTTTCTGCCTCAGCATTAAAACTTGCTTACTTTTTATAATCCCAATTCGAGCCATTGAATCTGAAGCACACAATGGACATTATCAGCTCGAGACGGCGCATTCTTTTTTTTCCGATGTGGAAAACTTTCGGGGAAAATTCTTTTTTTGTTAAAATGCTGATTCAAATAGTCGATAGAACTAACATGAGGGTAAATGAAGTAGCCTATGTGAAGCGAAAAAATACGCAGAAAAAAGCCAAAAAGAACAAAATTCGATGGTTTTTCGCTTGATGTGCAGAACGAACGGTAGTTTTTTTTTACAATTACAAAACTTCCATTTTTTTCCAGTTTTATCTCTCTTGAGATATGCCTCCCGTTACATACATATAAAAACACATTGTTCAGTGCGAGTAGAACAATCACTATGATGGGTGATGACGTCAATAATAATGCGAAGGAGGAGTTTGGCTGTTTCTCTGGCTGGTCTTGTTGAACAGACTGCATAAGTTTGCTAATCATTTTCTATTTAACCAAATTGAGGCTGACAGATGGCTAGATTGAGTTTTGCTTTATGTGTGCGTGTGTGTGCGAAACGTAATCAAAACCGAAATGCTGAAGGGAAAACTATATGTAATAGAAAATGTGTCAAATATTCTCAAATTTCATCGAGATCAGAATAAATTTGTCGGTTTGCTTTTGAGAAGAAAGGAATTTTCATCAAATTTTATGAGCACCTTGGGGATTCACACATCAGATCGTGTAAACAAATGTTTTCGAATAAAATGCGTGATTTATTTTTATGCGTATTTTTTTCTCTGGGTTATTTTCAAGTTTTGCGCACTTTTCTATTCTATTTTTTACGGTATTTGCTACCTAGATCGAAACAACTTAAAATGGAACATTCTTTTGTAGTTTGATTGGCTGCACCAAAACGATTTCTATTCAAATTGGTCTCGGTTGATATTCCACATTTTCAGGAAAAAGTCATCGGAAAAACTGGAAAAAAAGAAACGAAAAAGAAAATGAGTTTAACAAAATGCGAAGAAAGATGGAGAAAAAGGAAGATATTCATTTGGCACAAGAGTGAAACAGCAGCAATAGGGAGGCATTTTATTGTAGCAGATGGGAGAAACCATATGAAATGGATAATCGGAATGACAAATGAAAGTGAGTATCAAAACTGTCGCATCAAATAAATGCGATTGGGACTTGCGAGAGTAGGAACAATTTCATTGGATGCTAATCAACGACGAAGTCATACATTCTATTCTGGTGGCCAATCATTAATAATGCTTGCATAAGAGAGTGAGGGACGAAGCAGCAAAGATTAGATGGAAATTGCCACAGCAAAAATAAACTGATTTCGA